ATTGATCTAAAAGAAATTAAGAAAATAATAAAATATGTGGAACAATATAGATTACAATTAGAGAAAACTCAGAAATGAAGTGATTGAACCCCCCCCAAAATTAGAAAATAAAAGAAAGAATACTTTTAAAAATAGTAAACTACAAAGAACACAGAAGAAATTAAAAACAGCACAATAGATAATACCTCCAGAGAAAAAAAGATGAAAAAAACAAAGGAGGACCTTTAAAACAAAAAGAAATGAAGTCAATAAATATCCAGTATACATATAATTAACTTCCTGAAAAATAAAACCAAAGTAATATATCAAAAAAATATCAAGAAAGGCCTAAAGTTCAGCATGTGCTATCAGCCATGTGGCTGACAAAGTCTTGGTGCTCTGGGCAGGTGTCAGGCCTGTGCCTCTGAAGCAGGAGAGCCAAGTTCAGGACATTGGTCCACCAGAGACCTCCCAGCTCCATGTAATATCAAACAGTGAATGCTCTCCCAGAGATCTCCATCTGAATGCTAAGACGCAGCTCCGCTCAATGACCAGCAAGCTACAATGCTGGACACCTTATGACAAACAACAAGCAAGACAGGAACACAGCCCCACCCATTAGCAGAGAGGCTGCCTAAAATCATAATAAGTTCACAGACACCCCAAAACACACTGCTGGACGTGGTCCTGCCAACCAGAAAGACAAGATCCAGCCTCATCCACCAGAGCACAGGCACCAGTCCCCTCCACCAGGAAGCCTACACAACCCACTGAACCAACCTTAGCCACTGGGGACAGACACCAAAAACAACGGGAATTACGAACCTGCAACCTGCGAAAAGGAGACGCCAGATACAGTAAGTTAAGCAAAATGAGAAGACAGAGAAACACACAGCAGATGAAGGAGCAAGGTAAAAACCCAGCAGACCAAACAAATGAAGAGGAAATAGTCAGTCTACCTGAAAAAGAATTCAGAGTAATGATAGTAAAGATATCCAAAATCTTGGAAATATAATGGAGAAAATACAAGAAACGTTTAATAAGGACCTAGAAAAACTAAAGAGTAAACAAACAATGATGAACAACACAATAAATGAAATTAAAAATTCTCCAGAAGGAATCAATAGCAGAATAACTGAGGCAGAAGAAGGAATAAGTGATCTGGAAGATAAAACAGTGGAAATAACTGCTGCAGAGCAGAGCAAAGAAAAAAGAATAAAAAGATTGACAGTCTCAGAGACCACTGGGACAACATTAAATGCACCAACATTCGAAATATAGGGGTCCCAGAAGAAGAAGAGAAAAAGAAAGGGACTGAGAAAATATTTGAAGAGATTATTGTTGAAAACTTCCCTAATATGGGAAAGGAAATAGTCAAACAAGTCCAGGAAGCACAGAGAGTCCCATACAGTATAAATCCAAGGAGAAACATGCAAGACACGTATTAATCACACTATCAAAAATTTAATATAAAGAAAAAATATTAAAAGCAGCAAGGGAAAAACAACAAATAACATTCAAGGGAATCCACAAAAGGTTAACACCTGGTCTTTCAGCAGAAACTCTGCAAGACAGAATGGAGTGGCAGGAAATATTTAAAGTGATGAAAGGGAAAAGCCTACAGCCAAGATTACTCTACCCAGCAAGGATCTCATTCACATCCAACAGAGAAATTAAAACGTTTACACACAAGCAAAAGCTAAGAGAATTCACACCACCAAACCAGCTTTACAACAAATGCTAAAGGAACATCTCTAGGCAGGAAATGCAAGAGAAGGAAAAGACCTGCAATAACAAACCCAAAACAATTAAGAAAATGGTAATAGGAACATACATATTGATAACTACCTTAAATATAAATGGATTAAATGCTCTCTCCAAAAGACATAGGCGGGTTGAATGGATATAAAAACAAGACCCATATATACGTTGTCTACAAGAAACCTACTTCAGACCTCGAGACACATACAGGATGAAAGTGAGAGGATGGAAATGGATATTCCATGCAGATGGAAATCAAAAGAAAGCTGAGGTAGCAATTCTCACATCAGACAACACAGACTTTAAAATAAAGACTATTACAAGAGGCAAAAGAAGGACACTACATAATCATCAAGGGATCAATCCAAGAAGAAGATATAACAATTGAAAATACTTATGCACTCAACATAAGAGCACCTCAATACAAAATATATATACAGCTCATGCAGCTCAATATTTAAAAAACAAACAACCCAATCAAAAAGTGGGCAGAAGACCTAAAAAGACATTTCTCCAAAGAAGACATACAGATGGCCAAGAAGCACATGAAAAGCTGCTCAACATCACTAATTATTAGAGAAATGCAAATCAAAACTATAATGAGATATCATCTCACACCAGTTAGAATGGGCATCATCAGAAAATCTACAAACAACAAATGCTGGAGAGGATGTGGAGAAAAGGGAACCCTCTTTCACTGTTGGTGGGAATGTAAATTGATACAGCCACTATGGAGAACAGTATGGAGGTTCCTTAAAAAACTAAAAATAGAATTACCATATGATCCAGCAATCCCACTACTGAGCATGTACCCAGAGGAAACCATAATTCAAAAAGATACATGTACCCCAATGTTCACTGCAGGGGTGGTCGTGTGATGAATTGGGAGATTGGGATTGACATGTATACACTGATGTGGATAAAATTGATGACTAATAAGAGCCTGCTGTATAAAATATAAATAAAATTAAAAAAAACAAAATTACAATGAGGTATCACCTCATACCAGTCAGAATGGCCATTATTCAAAAAATCTACAAAAAGTAAATGTTAGAGGGGGTGTGGAGAAAAGGGAACTCTCTTGCCCTGTTGGTGGGAGTATAAATTGATACAGCCACTATGGAAAACAGTATGGAGGTTCCTTAAAAACTAAAAATAGAACTCCCATATGACTCAGCAACCCCAGTACTGGGCATATACCCTAAGAAAACCGTAATTCAAAAACAGTCATGTACCACAACGTTCATTGCAGCTCTATTTACGATAGCCAGGTCATGGAAGCAACCTAAATGCCCATCGACAGACAAATGGATAAAGAAGATGTGGTATATATAAACAATGATATTGTACTCAGCCATAAAAAGAAACGAAACTGAGTTATTTGTAGTGAGGTGGATGGACCTAGAGTCTGTCATACAGAGTGAAGTAAGTCAGAAAGAGAAAAACCAATACCGTATACTAACACACATATATGGAATTAAAAAAAAAATGGTTCTGAAGAATCTAGGGGCAGGAAAGGAATAAAGATGCAGACGTAGAGAATGGACTTGACACAGGGAGGGGGAAGGGGAAGCTGGAACAAAGTGAGAGAGTGGCATGGACATATATACACTACCAAATGTAAAATAGATAGCTAGTGGGAAGAAGCCACATAGCACAGGGAGATCAGCTTGGTGCTTTGTGACAGCCTGGAGGGGTGGGATGGGGAGGGTGGGAGGGAGACGCAAGAGGGAGGAGATATGGGGATATATGTATATGTATAGCTGATTTACTTTGTTATAAAGCAGAAACTAACACACCATTGTAAAGCAATTATACTCCAATAAAGATGTTAAAAAAACTATCAAAACTGAATTTTATATTTAGTATTTTAAGAAATACTAACATCATAATTAAAGAAGTTTTCTGGAAAATGAAAAGTCTTGAAATTACATATTGAAAGGACACTTTGTATATTGAGAAAAGTTACCCTGAGTAACAAACCTGAAACATATTTTTGGAAAAACTATTGAACTTTTAGGGGGAAAAAAACTTCCTTTAAGCATCTAAGCAAAAAGTTTAAGTCATTTGTAAGGGAAAGAAGTTCAGTATGTCATCAGAGTTTTGGACAGTAATCCTTTATTCCAAAAGAAAGTTAAATAATACTTTTATGACCCTCAAAAAAGAAAATGTGAGCCAAGGGTGTTTTAGTCAGCAAAATTGACTTTGGAGTATAAAGGCCACAGAAAAACTGTTATCAACACCCAGAACTCAGAAACTTATTTCCTTGAGCACTTCCTGAGGAATTTATCGGAAAATGACCATCAGATAGTCAAAATGACTGGAGGGATGTGACATAAAGACTTGTAGAGCAGATAATATTTAATGATAGTTAAAAGAGAGACTATAATATGTATAGTATAGATACCATATGATGTGGATAGAATAGCTCTATAAAAAATGGAAGTGGAATAGGAAGCACATATGAAAAGTGGAATGAGCATAATGTTTGCTTTATTGTATTAACTGGGATAAAAAGGATAACACTGCAAGTCATATACTGGACAAGATGGTGCAAAGGGGATAAAGGATATTATCTAAAGATATTTATTATACCATTAGAACACAATTGCAAACCTTCTTACATACAAATAATAATAATAATAAAGCGGAGACAAACCAAAACCAAAGCAAAAAAAGGAAAAAAAAACCAGAGTGAAAAGCATTTCATATAAAATATGTGTATATTAAATATAGTATTATACAACTTTTTTGTAAGAGAGTTGACAGAGGGACACAAATAACACAAAAATAAAATTAAAAATAAAACAATGAAAGTTAAATCATAATTTTAAAAATTGTTTACGTATGGGGGAAGAAGGGAATAGTGTAAAGAGTTCAGGGATAAATGCTGGGCTTCTTGGTATATACACTGTTTTGTAGATTTAACTTTTGGAATTGTGTAAATATTTTAAATAATTATAAACAAATTGGTTTTTTTAAAAATCATCCCTAAAAATCAAAAACAAACTTAAAAGAAGTCAAAATACAAACATTGCAATTACAGTTTTATATTTCACCACAAAAGTTTCTTTTATATTTGCTAACAGTTCAAGATGTGAATTTGAAGTTTATAAAAATAATGTTTAATAGTTGGACTCCAAATAAATAGGCATGGTCCTTGACTTTTTCTTCCACATCTAACACAAGGAAACAACTCAAATGAAATGAGTCAACTCAGGGGAATGTTACTCACTATCTTTTCTTTTTCATTTCTCTAGGAAAATAAAGGAAAGTCTGGAGTGTTTCCCTGTTAAATTGAATAACTTGATCCACACACTTGCACAAATGACAGCCATAAATCCTGCCAAATCTACTTCGCAGACTTTTTCCCGGGAATCCTGTACGATGAGTGCAACCCAGTTAATCCAAAGAGCAGCAATTTTAGGGTTCAGCAAGAAAACTAGGCATGTAAGTCTCAAGTCTGTCATCTTGACTTATATATCATTTGACTACATCTCACACTTCCCTTCACTATGCTACACATTCCTCCTTATACCATGATTTTTCTTTTTTGCTACACAACTGAAAAATCAGTTACAGTTTGAACAGAAGTGCCATTAAGGCCGATGTTCCAAGGAGAAATTATAATAACCAGAGCTACTAGTAGAGAACGACCAAAGAGAACAGTTTCTGCCCTGTGGTAGACTATAAATCAAGACCTAATTAAAATGTCCACAAGAAAAAAAAAAGGGGGCTTCCCTGGTGGCGCAATGGTTGAGAGTCCGCCTAACAATGCAGGGGACACGGGTTCGTGCCCCGGTCCGGGAAGATCCCACATGCCGCGGAGCGGCTGGGCCCGTGAACCATGGCCGCTGAGCCTGCGCGTCCGGAGCCTGTGCTCCGCAACGGGGGAGGCCACAACAGTGAGAGGCCCACGTATCGCAAAAAAAAAAAAAATGTCCACAAGAAAAGAAGATCAGAAATTAGGCAGTCTGTTCCCAGCACCTAAGATTATGATATTTTTATATACTGTGTTTATAGGTAATTTTGCCTTTACAAATTGCATCTCTTATCTTTTGTGATGATTTTTTTTTTGCAGAGAGGTTCTTACTTTGTTTAGTTTACATGAAACAGAATTTTAGAATGTATTGAAGGTTGATATTGCCATCTTCTGATTTTGTCTCTTTATTTTCTGCAGCTTTATCTAATCCAGGTGACTCACAGTAACAATGAAACAAGCCTGACAGAAAAATCATTTGACCAGTTTTCAAAACTTCACAGCCAACTTCAAAAGAAGTTTGCATCATTGGCCCTCCCAGAGTAAGGACTGTCCTCCACTGTTTTTTGACTTTAGTACTTGTCCCTGAACATAAGGAAAAATTATGGTTATGGGATTTTCTATTTGTGGGCAACACAACACAACATTCTGATTCCAGTGCCACTGAACCTATCCCAGCAGAGTCTCTATGGCTCTCAGAGTAGAGAACCTTTTGTCTCATAAAACAGAATAAAGCTTTTCAATTTTGTTTGCTTTCAGCCATTGATTTTGTAGACAAAAAAAATCATAACCAATTTTATTTTTCATCAGGGAAATTGTTTTATTTGCCTGTTTTTAAATTTGATTGTTTTAGTGTTTTCTATAAAAATAAAATTGAAATTGAAAATGCAGAACAAAATTAGATATATCTTCTCTTTCAACAGATAACTGCAATAAAAAGCTCTGATATATTTATTTGCTGTACCAGAAAATTTTGTCAATATCAATTAGTATACAAGTAAAATATATTAACATCAACTTACTTTCGTTATCATTAATTATTAACTTGGACTTGGGTTATCCAAATTTAATTTGTCATTATCTTCATTTTGCAGTCTTGAAAACCATTGCTCAGTTCATGTTGTAATGAAAAAATATTAAGCATAAATAATGTAATTGAAAATACTTCTGTTCAAATAAACCTTCTAAAATTTATTATTTAGAGCTAGCCAAATTTATGTTACAGACTTGAGTGTGTATCTTGACCAGAGGTGCACCTTGACTTTAAAAAGGTGAACTTCTTAGAAATTATGATATTTGCACTTAGGCAAATCAAATGTCATCTTATCTATTTTGTAGTTTCTTGGTATCCACAAATTGGTTCCAGGACCCCTCCCACGGATACCAAAATCCTTGCATGCCCAAGTTCTATACATAAAATGGCATAGTATTTACAAATAACCCACCCACATTCTCCTGTATACTTTAAATCACCTCCAGATCACTTATAATATCTAATACAATATAAATACTATGTAAACAGTTGTAAATACAATGTAAATGCTATGTAAATAGTTGCTGGCATGCAGCAAATTCAAATTTTGCTTTTTGGAACTTTCCGGACTTTTTTTTTAATATTTCAATCCACAGTTGGTTCAATCTTCAGATGTAGAACCTGCAGACAGGGAGAGCCAACTATACCAGAATTTTTGTTGAGTAAATTGTCCTTTAACAATATGAGTGTTCATACCAGACCTGACATACTTTGTACATGTGGATTTTTGTTAGACTTTCAGGATTTAGTCACTTACCAAAATGTAAATCTAAACAACGTTGCCAATGGATGGAGAGATAGTGTGCATTATTTTGAAGACTGTGTAGTTCACATTGATGAAAAACTATACTTGCAGATGTCACAGAGATTTTGAAATACAGATGCTTTAAACATCAGAAAGTCATCAGAGTAAGAGCACATTCAAGAGACTGAGAGGGAAGGAATGTCATTGTGGAAACTTAAAGACAACATCAGCTTTAAGAGTTATCAGAAAACATCTAATGTAATAACTGAGGAAAAGGAAATACTGGCAAAAATATTCAGTTTGACTGCAAATATTGAATTCAACATTAGTGGTTTCCATTGTACCCTAATAATTAATGATTTAAAAATATGTTCATTCTTGTTAAATGGCTGTCCTTTTGTTTCAAAAATGTCTCTGTTCTACTCTTTTCTCTCCCCAATACATATTAGTATAACTTGTAAAACTTTAAAGTGCCAGTAATCTCTCTCCATATGCCTCTTCTCGGTTTTCAGCTTTAGTTAGGATTCTGTTTTGTTCAACAACTCTTGCCTGGTAATGGGACCTAAATTGATTTTAAAATCATTCAAGCAATGTGTGGAGAGGAGGAATATTTAGTCCTTTGTGCCTTGAACAATATTTGTATGCTAACAGTCCCAAAGGAGCTCTGGCTTATAGCAAAGCATACAGAAGAAGGATGAGGGCAAGATTTCCTCTGACTCCTAAATTTACTAAGAGAAGCTCTATGAGAATTATGTAAACCCAATCTAGAAAGTATGATCAGAAAGTTAGAGTCATAAAGAATAAAATTCAAATTAGTCATAGCATGTAACAGTGGTCTTCAAATCAGACTGTACCTCTTCCAACTTCTGAGAATACAGAGGCATAGGAATCTTCCTTGAAATTAATGGTCTTCTTTAAAAGTCACCTGCTTGAGAAAGGTTGATTTCCTTTTCCTCTCCTAATTTCACCATTGCTCTTCTCCCAGCCATCCAGAATTTTATTTTGGTACACTGTCGCAGGGAGTAAAAAATCTCTGAGGATTAAATAAAGGGCAAATCAAACTACTGGTGTTGGTACTGAGAAAATGAATTACTCTAATAACCAGGTATCAAATCTGTTTGCAGGTTGTGTGTTTCTTAAACTTTGGTGTGAACAAAATTGAGGGAGGACATGATAGCACCGTCAGATAAAATATCCTAAAAAATCATTTTCAAGAACTGATTACTATGTTATATTTGACATATAACTCAAAAGCATTTTAAACAACTGAATGACATTACTAGAGCTGAATTCCTTAATTCTCATGTACTTATTTACACACAATACTTTTTTAGTACCTACATCTATAAAAAAGGAATAGAACTGATGTTGAACTCCATTTTATTCTAACAATAAAGAAAATTAATCCACAGTTATACAAGTTAATATTTAAAACCAGCAAAACCACTGTTTATCAAATGTATTTCTATGTTTTGATTAATTATATATGGTAATAATTTTTATGATAATTAAATCTGGATGAAAATTTTTAACACTTTAAGCCTTAGTAAGAGTAAAGCAAGAGTAAAAAAGTAAAATGTCAATTATTTAAATGCACAGAAATATTATTTTGGACTTCCCTGACACTTCCAACAGTAAGCAATGGATGGGATGTCCTGCAGTTTTCACATACTTCTGTGTGTTTGCTAACAACCCTTCACCATCCCCCATGCTCCTTTGCCCAGAGGAAGCAGAAGAGGAAGGAAGCAACAGCAAGACTGCAGTCAGAGGAAGCCGCTAGATAGTTCCTAAAAAGATACATTTAACCAGCAAAACGTGTTGCCAAATGCTTCCCATTAATAGGTCATGCCACCAATAATTGGTCGTAATCAACGTCTAGCCCATCAAGATGAATCATCAGATAGTGAAGAGGAAATTCTGCAAGCTAGACCCCTGGGGAAAGTGATACTTTGTTCCAAAAGACCAGATGGAAGCATATGCTTTGTAAAATGTTTAATCTAGTTAGTGTAGCAATGTCCCTCGTGAACCCAGAGGAAACAATACCATATGACCTTTTTGAAAAATTATGGATCATTAAACTTCAGAAAGTATTTATTAACCCCCCACATGTATTTAAAGGACAAATTGTGTGGTCTGCCATAAATACAGTAAGAAGGAAAATGTATATTAATTTAGTATGTTAAATTAAATTAGTATTAATATCAATGATAGTTAAAATAGCACAAGTGACCACAGCCATGTTAATAAAACTCTCAGAATTAATCATGCGTTCTATGGTTTTTTAAAAAAACGTTTTCAGTGGCCCTTCCAACTGATGCAGCCTTAACTTTATGAACAATTCTAAGATACAGATGCCAATTTTCAAACTAATGAAGATATACTTTTTTCTTTTAAAACAGGTTTCCTCATTGGTGGCACTTACCTTTTACAAATTCAGATCACAAAAGATTCAGAGATCTAAATCATTACATGGAACAGATATTAAATGGATCGTATGAAGTTGCAAACGTATGTTACAATTTACTTTTATATTTTTACATAAAATATGGACTGTTTTATGTATTATTACTGGGAATATTTTTAAATACTTTATGATAACATTTTTAGTCCTACATTTATTCAACAAATGTACAGATTAAAATTATCTTGTCAATTCCATGCAAAAACCAACCGGGACTTTACTTGAAATTGCATCTTAATATCTTTCAATCCATTATCATATTCAAGTATTTTTAGAATGCTTTTTCAATAATTGTTTATTGTTCTGTGCATAGAGGGCTTAGAAGTATTTTGTTATACTAGATATAGTACTTTTTATAAAAATCCTTTTCCTGTTTTTTCACCATTATATAGATAGAACTGATTTTGTATATTGACATTTTACCCAACAATCTTACTAACTTCACTTTTAATTCTAATAATTATCTGTATTGTTTTTCAACTTACAATCATATTGTCTGCGGATAAGAAGGGTTTATTTTTTCTTTCCAATATTCATATATTGTATTTCTTTTCCTTGCTATTTTGTACTCTCTAGGGCTTTCAATAGATATTGAATTGAAGTGGTAATGGTGGATATACCTACATTATTCTTGAATCCAGGGAAGAAGTGTCTAATATTTCCTCATTAAGTATGTAGGTTTTGTAGGTCCCCTTTATTATTTTGTTTCCTTCTATTCCTAGGTTGCCAATAGTTTTTACAAAGAAGGTTGAATGTATCAAATTTTTTTTCTGAATCTACTGGGCTGCACAATGATCACCAATAATCCTATTTTTCTCCTTTACTCTGCTAATGTGGTGAATTACACTGAAGAACTTTCTAATTTTAAACAAATTTGCATTACTAGGGTAAACTCTACATGGGTGTAATGTATTATACTTTTTACGTATTATTGGATTTGATTTAACATTTTCTTTAGCATTTGTTTTCATCTTTATTTATGACAGAGATTGGCCTGGAGTTTTTCCTTCTTACAAAGTCATTACCAGGTTTCAGAATCAAGAACATGCTAGACTCATAATATTAGTTGCAAAGAGTTATTGCTTTTTTCCCTACTCCCTGGAACAGTTTGTATAAAACTGGTTTTATTTCTTTATTTGTAAAGTCATATAGGTCTGGAGATTCAATTTATTTAAGAGCTATAAGACATTTCACATTTCCTATTTCTTCTTGAGTCTCTTTGTTAAGTTACATTTCTATAGGAATTTGTGCTAATTTATTGGCATAAAGTTATTCATAATATCCTATCATAATCTTTTTAACATTTATAGGATCTGTAAAGGTATTCACTCTTCGATTTCTCACACGTATTTCCTGATCCATACTTCCAGAGGATTATGAATTTTACCAATCTTTGTAAAGAATGAAATGTGGGACTTATTGACCCTCTCTATTGTATTATTTCTCTGTTTCACTTATTTTTTACCTTTATTATTTCCTTCCTTCTGCTTCCATTCTATTTATAACATCCTCAGATAGTTAATTTAACTTGTTTATTTTCAACCTATCTTCACTTACCCATTTAAAACTCTAAATCCTCTCTCCTAATCAAGATTTAATAGCACCCCACAAGTTTTTATATACAGTATTGTATTTTCTTTATCATTCCTTAAAAATATTTATAAAATTTTCACTGTGAATTTTCCTGGACCATGGCTTAAGTCTATTTCACCCACTTGAGTTTTATATGCTGTAGTAAAAATACATATCTGTATCTGTATCCATAAATTTCATAAGTAATTATTATTGTTGTTTTTGCAATCAACATTTAATATTACTCACATATCTCATTTCCATTGCTTCCTGTAACTCTGAATTTCTGTCTGGGATTGTTCTCCTTCTTCCTGAAGAACACCATCTACTATTCCCCCTAATATGAATTTGCTGCTAAAAAAAACCCTCTAAATTTGCATTTGTCTGAAAAGTTTTTAGTCTACCTTCATTCTTGGAGGATATTTTTGCTGACTATTTGGTATTTGAGCATTTGGATAGCAATGATTTTATTCTAAAAACTTTAAGGCTATCATTTCATTGTCTTTTAGCTTCCATTGATTTTGTTTAGAATCCGTTATATTTGTTTCTTCTTTGAAAAAGTTTTTTTATTCTTTACAATATTGTTCTTTTTATTGTTGGTTTTCTGCCGTTTTACTTTACTTTGCTCAGATATGACTTTGTTTCTACTGATGATGCTTGAGCTTCAGCACTTCTTGAATTTGTGCCATGATGTCTTTCATCACTTTTGGAAAGTTCTCAGTCGTTATCACTTCACATATTGTTCATACTATTTCCTCTCTCCTCTTTTTCTGGGACTGTAATCACATATATGTCTATCCTTTTCATTGTACCCTCTATGTCTCATACTTTTACTCCTGTATTTTTAATTCTTTGTCCTCTATGACTTAGTTTCTGAATAGCTTCTTCTAACTTATCTTTTTGGTTGTTTATTCTCTAATGGTCTGTGTTTAACATACTGTTAAGTCCATTCTCTGAGTTCTTAATTTCAATTATTCTTCAGTTTCAGAATTTCCTTTTTTTTTTTTCAGTTCCTAGTCCTTTGCTGAAAATCTGTCCTTTTTATTATTTCTTCAAAAATGGTAAACATAGTTATTTAAAATCTTCCTAAAAACTCCAATATTGGGACCTACTGCATGTACCTTTTTATTTTCTAATGTTTCTGCTGGTTTTTAATTATGTAGTCTTGTTCCATTGTGAGCCTGGTTATTTTCCTTTTTATTGTGGCCACATATTGTACTGCAATGTCCTTTGTAAAAATTGGATGCCTATGTTACTGTTATCCTGGTATAGAGAATTATAATATCTGAGTACATTAACAATCTAGGGTTGCTGAAATTCAGTTGCAGGGATTCAGATTATTCAAAACTGAACTGTAGCTCTTGTGGGGCACTATTACTGGTTCATCCTTATTCCTTAGAGGTAGCCACTTTGGATCTAAACCCAAGGTAAGGCAGACTCACCAAGAATCTACTTGGCAGCTCTGGATTCCATTCCTTTTCCTCTTAACTCTGCAAGGTGGTCAAAAGTGCTGCTCTACCTCCCAGCCATTCCACTGCTTCAACCTATATCAATAAAAACCCACAACAGAAAAGCTGTGCCCAAACCCAAGCTCACTTCCCCAAGACTGTCTTGCCCCAGATCCTAGCCTGGTAATTCTTCACTATCTTGTTAGCTCTCTGATGCTTTCAAGCAAAGTTTAAAAACAAATTGTTTAATTATTCCAGTTATTCTCTTTAGGAGGTCTGGACTAAATGACCAAATCCAATATCACTAAAAATAGGAGCTTACAGCTGCAGTCATGCTACCCCTCAGCTTTCAGAAATATCTGCTGTTCTGCCTCCTCCCCCACATCCTGTGTTCTGATGAACCTTGTCTCTCATAGGTAACTATTTCAGAGGATCTAAGTCTGTGGTCAATTCCCATCTGAAAAAAGTATTTAAGGATTTCTTGGTGAGGTTTTGGTACTACTCATCAGTGATTCTGAGTGGCCTAGAAAATTGAAGAGACATGCCAGACCCCAATTTTGCCCTCTTCTGTCATATGCATCAAAAAAAGGACTCTTAAGATCCTTCCCCATACACACATGTGCATACAACCTACACATGCACACAGCTGTTACAACTCCTTCTGAGGACTCAAGGAAGGATTAGCTCCCTTTACTATTAAATTCTTATCACCATCTTGCTTGCAAGGTTCCTGTGAGACAAATGTAAGTTACAAAGGCAGGTACAAAGCTAACAGAATCCTCCAGAGTTCTTGGCTAGACATAGGATCTTTTAGGGATTTATCTAAAACATCATCTCTAAGGGTAAAAGGTTCAAGGCCTGTTAGGTTTTTTGCCTTTTGATATAAGAATGGAGACTATTTATGGAATACCTTTAGCTAATCCACATGTCTGGAATAACTTTAATGTCACCAATGAGAGCCCATTTCTAACATTAATCATGCTAGTCAACAAGCTACCGTTTTTATGAACAAAATCCTTTGATATTCAGTATGCTAATTAATAATGTCCATTTTTTAAAGGGGTTCAGCACGATGGCTTGATTTACATATATTGTGAAATGATTACCACAATAGATTTAGTTAACATCTATCATCTCATATAGATACAATAAAAAGAAAAGAAAAAGTAATTTTTAAATTTATAAGTGTCATAAGATGAAGATTTAATAGCTCTGCTTCTTCTTCCTCATCCTCTCCCCCAAATTTAGCATGCTTTTAATTATATCAATAATTAGCATTTGTAAAATACCTATTGTTGATTGAGTTGTGAGAGTTTAACAGAACTACTTACACTGACTGCCTCTAGTATGGGTTGCCTGATTAAAATATTGGGAGCCTCTTATTTCCTCCTGCTCTATCCAGGCACTCCGATAGTGCAGCCTTGATTAGGACATTAACAGACCATTCCTGGACTCTAGTCATTTTTCCTTTTATTGAAGTATAGTTGACTTGCAATATTATATTAGTTTCAGGTGTACAACATAGTGATTTGATCATTTTCCTACCGTCTTGATTAAATCCTAGCAGCAGTCCAGTTATACTTTGACCTAAGAAACACACTTATAATATCATGCTGTATATACAGACATACTTTGAACTTCAGTAAGTTACAGGCACTGTAACAGGAGGACTACAACCGACCCCATAACCAGGACTTAACTGAGTCAAAGAACCCTATTTTTCTCAGCAGTCAATTCAACAACCTTCCTTCTCCATGTGGAGCTTGGGAAAGACATTAGATGAGATTACTTTCCAGTCAGAGTGTGAATTGTTTTAATTACATGTTGTATAGTAGATTAAGTCAGTATATATCAAGGAAACCTTACTGAAATTTAAAAATAAAATATATTAATGAATGTATTCAAAATTGTCTCCTAACTGTAGGTTTGCTGATTCAGGATGTTGGCTTATTGCTATACCACCCAGTTGTGTAATATTGTGGTTTGATGATGAATAGACCTACTTAAGAAAATTCCACAATTCAGAT